GAAGCACTTAATCTAGGAAGACTTAAACATCTGCCAAAATAATTTAACACCTCTGGGCTAGTGCTTTTTGTTGTAAGCTGTATGCTTGATATATTGTTTGTTAAACATCTCTGCTTGCTTGAAAATTCCCATCATCCTTATTGTAAGTCAGCTCGTGTCTGACAGAATTTTGCTCCACCATCCTCATGCCAGGAGCTTACTGCTCAGGACTATATAGTGCCAAAGGGCAACTGGTCACATACTTTCTAGCAGCTCTAATAAGGACTACAAGATAATTTATTAGAATTTTATCAATATTTTGAGGGTGGCAAAGAGTGGCTGTGGGGTTTTTGTATTGCTGTTTTGAATTTTGGTAAATCTACTTTTAGAGGAATTTAATGATCCACCAGTGATTGATCTAAGTCATAGTAACTCAAGACATGAAATAAAATTGGCCTTCCATCTCTCTAGATTCTAAATCCATGGGTTGATAACTAGCTGCAGGTAGAAAATACTTGGGAGAAAAATTTTGTCTATATCAACTATGTGCAGACACAATTTGTAATCATTTCCTAAACAATAAGCATAACACTTGTTTACATAGCATTTATATGGTACTTATTACCAGTAATCTAGAGATGATTATTTTCAGGAGTATGTATGTAGGTATATGTGAATACTACACCATTTAGGTAAAGGACCTGAGCATCTGCAGATTTCAGTGTCTGATTTTGGAATTAATCACCCATAGACCCTCAGGGACAATTCTTATAATAAAACTGATTTTTTTCAAATGTTTATCAGGAGATGTATTTAATTATATGTTCTAATTTAGTAATCACACAAACATAAGTTGTAGTACTATTTATTATCAAAAAGGAAACAGGGATTCCACCGCTCCTAGGGCAAAGGAGGTGAGCCAATCCCAGTGCCCAGGAGGAGGCTCCCCCGCCGCAATTCCACCACTCCTAGGACAGAGGAGGTGAGCCGCGTGGACGCCAGCAACACCACCCCCCACCCCCAATGGAAATGAGAAGACGCGTAAACAAGCCTCAAAAACAGACTTCCAGATAGCATACAGTAACCCCAAAGGGAAACGAGATGGAACAATCTGATATTCAACCACATGGAGTCCCTGAACTGGAAACAAAAGAGGATCTGAAAAAAAAGGAATGAGAAGTAATTTCTCACATAACAGCAAAGATTGTGCCCACAGTGCAAGACATGATTAATAAATCTAGAGAGGACACAGATAAAAATATAGAGGATCTGAGGAACATGATGGAATCGCAACATAGGAAACAAATGGAATCCATAAAACAGATGCAAACAAGATTTCCAGGAGATTAAAAACTCCATTGAAAGTCTGCGCAGCAGAATGAACCATTGTGAGGGCAGAATTTCAGATATAGAAGATAAGATTGCAATTAGTGACCAGGAAAAGAAAAATTGCTTTAAAATTGTAGGGGACCACGAGAAAGCAATCCAGCAGCTGCTAGACGATGCAAAGAAGAATAACATAAGACTGATTGGAGTCAATGAAGAAAGAGGAGAGAACGCAGATG